ATCATAATTGACAGTTATCTTGAGGACCATTGACATTTTATAACGTATATCCTATGGTATATCTTATAATATGGCATATGATCAGGAGTAACCATATCCTTTAAATGCTGGTCTGGAAGCCAAGCCTTATCTAAATATTCAGAAATTTGAGACTTTAGAAAATTTTAATAAAATAGAAAAGGTTTCTTTTCTTGATCACTTCATGAATACCTTGGATTTTTTTCTCACAGAAATATTAAGTTTTGACACAGAAAAGAATATAGTAAAAATTAAATTTTTAATAAGACATTTTACCTAACCTGCTGCCTTGACTTAAAACAAAAGACTGGGGAACTGCACATTAATCCTAAATTTGGCCCTTGTCTGTTACTTCCCTCTTACCCTGGTTTACTCCCTTGTATGACAAAAACCATGTTTTATTTATCTTTGCATACCACAGCGACTTGTGTAGGTTAGATGAATATTAAATTATAAAATTCTAGTATTCAAAAAATATTTAATGATTGATTAGTTTTCTTGATGAAATGCTGAAAAACTGTTGTCAGATATGTGTGTGTTTCAGGGAAGGAAAAGAAGACATTTAAAGCATTTTTGAACTTCTATTTTTACCATGACTTATAATAAGAAATAGTTTTGATTCTACATCATAACCATTACATACACATGAACATATGTATATATCTATCCAAAACAGAAGTTGTAAGTAAAGAACAACTTACCCTCAATATGCCTGGTGCTTTTGGTTATTTTCTCTTCTATTTCATTTTTTAAAATGATGCTTATGACCCACTAGCAGTTTGTGATTCACAATTTGAAAAATATTGATTTAGAAAACTATCTTCTGGAAACAAATATGGAAGCAAACAACAAATAAAATAAAATAGAAAAAACATTTTAAAATAATGGTTACTTACTTAGTTGCTGCAAAAACAACATTGAGTGGCATCTGTTGATAGAACGGAAGGAAAGGCCTGTGGGGGAGTGGACACAAACATGTGAGACTTTTGCATCGTGTGTTCTCTAAGCCTTCTTCCAACTTTAATATTTGTCCCTTAAAATCAGTGAGCTTGTATGTCAGTGATCCTCAAACTTTTGACATACACAAAACCACTGAGGAGTGGGGAGATTCTGATTTAAAGTACAAATTCCCAAGTCTAGTCCATGAGATTCAGTAGATATAAGGGCCAATGAATCTGTATTTTTAATAAACATTCCAGTGTTTTTTCTACAGATGGAAAACAAGGTACACTTTGAGAAGCAGTGCCATATAGTTGAGCTTCAGCTGGTTGTTAGCTCCCAGCAACGTCTCAAGCCCTGAGACATTCTGAAATTTCCAATAATTTAGTTTTGAAAACTTCCCCCAAAAGTCTAGGAATTTAAGTTAAAAATTTAACTTTTCTCTGAAAAAGTCAATATCATAAAATTCCCATAAAGAGTTTGTTCATAAATAATAATGTATATTATAAATTTACTTTCTCAAGGAAGCTTATGTAGATATGATATCAAGACTATTTTTCTAATTCAGATAAGACCCACAGGAAAACCCTCACTTTATTTTAATTTGGTCTGAGTTTATGATTATTAATCACAAATGAAACAATGTGAACCTTTTGACTATGTTCGGCAACGTTCACACAAATAAAGCAAGTGTCATCTATTTGCTCACTGCACGATGACTGTCATGGTGTCTCTACTATGCCTCACTTCATATAATGACTTCATTTTGTTCTCAAATACACATTCTTTTTTTGCAATTTAGTACCTCTGAAGTCAGACAGACTTTGTTGGAATCCCAACTTTGCCATTTACTAACTTATGTGCTCTTGAGCAATTTATTTCTCCTCCCTTGGTTTCAGCTTCCTTACTGGTAAATGGGAACAATATATGCAATCTTACATTTCTATTGTGAAAATTAATAATATATTTGTAAAGCACTTAAAGTGGTGCCTGGCACATTGCATGCACTTAAAAAATGATAGCTACTATCATCACCATAAAGAGGTTCTCTAATAATATCAGGGCTCGTATTCATTAAAATGACTTTTTACCTTTCAAAATATTTATAACGATTCTTTCCAGTAACTTCGGGATCTTCATAAACTTCTTTGGGCATCTGAAAAGAACTGTCAGTTCTAAAATGAAGCAGGAAAACATTATTCAAGTCTAACACATCATTCTCAAGTATAATTTGTATTTAATATTTCTATATCCATAAAATAGGAAATACAAGGGTATCTCAGACTGAGAGCAAAATCTTCCATAACATGCATCTGACTGACCTATATCTCAGACTAGATATAATTACTTTCCCTGAGCCAGGAAACTAGGAGCTATCAAGAGGAAGTGAAAGTTAAGAAAAGAGTTGATGTATGAAATCCCACATTTTAAAAAATGCCCATTTTTAATTAATAGCACATGCTAATAACAAAGTTTTAAATACAACTTTTTACGCCCAGACTGTAAGGTAGACTTTCTAAAAAATTTACTAAGTATTAACTTGTAAATAATTAAAAGAATAAAGAATTCAAGAGACTTGTCTCTGAAGGTGCTTTGGTTACAAGTCTCCAAAAAATATATTTAGTTACTAGCAGAAAAGTATACTTGTAATTTCTAAGACAGATCAATGGAACACCAAATTCGGTCACCTCAACCTTTGGTGGCATGTCGTCATTTAAAATGTGTGTATATTCATTCCAACCTTCTGAGAACATCTACTAACCCATAAACCTATAACCATTGTGTCTGAATCAGGCTCGTTTTGAACCACGGGGTTAAGAGAGAGAATTTGGGATCAACTGGCCTAGGTATAACATTACAATTGTACATTTTTAAATAATGCAGAATAAATAAATATTTTAATAAGAAAAAATCATTACTGAAAACATAAGTTTAAAAAAAAGAAAGAAAACACTTACGCAGCAAGTTGCCGGAGAGTTTCTCTGTGTTTCTCTTCGTGTCCCTTCCATTCCCGACTGATGAATGGTGGGACAGGATCTGCCTTGCTCCAATATAGAGAATATCTTGGGTAATGGATCAGGTTACTGAACATGGTTCTAAACCTGGGGACTTTTCTCTAATTTTAGGCCAGGGAGGCAGGGAGAAAGAAGACAAAAATTATACCATCAGATTTTCTAAAGCATTTTACTTTTAATGTAAACTTTTTTAAAAGGTACAAAAGAGTGTATATGGCATAGAAAGGAGGGTAATTGGAATATGCATAGAATATCTCTAGAAAGACACCCAAAAAACTGATGACAATGGATGATTATGTGAAGGGGGCAGAAGGTTAGAATTTACTTTATACTGTATATGCTTTTGTACTTCTTGAATTCCTTTAATACAAACATACATTACTTTTCCCGTTGAAATAAATTAGATTATAATCAGTCCTTTAGTCACTACTAGCTAATCAATCCTCACATTAGCCACAAGTATCAAGATGCCTTGTCTCCCAGAAATCATGGCAAAGTAATTTCTGCACAATATAAAATCCAGTGAAGATCTGTTAAATCAATCTTATCAGTGCAGTTAGCCAAACTAGATGGTTCAGGTTGGCTAGACTGCCTTAATGGATGAATTAGACCTACCAGTCTGCTTCGACTCAGGATGGCTTGGATATTTTCCTGTTTGTGGTCTTTCTCACTTGACACAATAAACAACGGATCTGTAAAATAAACAATAAGGTAGTATAAGGAATGGAACATATCTACTCCTAGGTTCAGAATAATGGCAAAACAGTGTAATTTGTTAATTGGAAAACAAATTAGAAAATTTAGATATTGCCTAACTCTGCAACAGCTCATAGCCCTGTTACTCTATCTGCCACCAATGACAATCTGTTAGATACATTTTCTGTGTATTCTAAAGTTGGTTTATAGAATTGGAATGCAAACAAAAGGCCTAATATATTCTCAAGTACCATAGCCTAAACATGCTTTTTTCAATTCTATGAACAAACCACCTTCCGGATCTGGGTAGCCCAGAAAATAGTCCAAGAGGAAAGACTATGTATACATGCACTATGCCCATTTACAAGTGAAGAAACAATAAATTTGGACATCACCTCCCATATTCAGTACAAAAAGAAAATATGAACTCTTAATAGCATGTCATCTCAGAATGGGTAGACAAGATAAGAAAATGTTATTCCTAATAAGAGATAAATAAAATCAGCTAGCTTCAGAATTCATCCCTTAAGTTTAAGTTAATGATGGGACCTTAAGTTATTTCTCCAAAGTTCAACAAAAGATTGCCCTGCTATTATAAATATCTGCTTATTAGATATATCTTTAAAGTGATGAAGACTATGCATGATTTTATACCATTCCTTAAAATCAGACAATTTGATATTAAATTCACAAGCAACCTTCAGAAATAGACTTGATTTCACAAGTAGATATCTAGTGAGAAACAAATACCTTGACCAACTAGTCTAGATGACTTGATATATTTCTACATGTTCTAGGTGTTTGGAACACATCAACAAAGATCCCAACTTCATGGAAGAGGGGCAATAAATAAGAACATAACAAACTAGCAAATTACATCACAGAGTTAGAGGGTAATAAGTGCTACAAAAAATAAAAATGAGGAGAGCAGGATAAGGAAGATTGGGTTACAATTTTATATGGGGTGGTCAGGGCAGGCCTCATTGAGAAGGTGACATTTAAGGAGACTTGAAAGTGAGGGGGTTAGCTATATAGTTATCTGGAAGTAGACCACGCTAGAGAAAACAGCTAGGACAAAGGCTCTAGTGTAGTAGCATGTCTGACGTATTTGAAAAATTACAAGGATACCAATTGGATTGAAACAGAGTGAGAGAGGGAAAAATATTGCACATAAAAAGGTCAGAGAAGTTACAAGGGGCTTAGACCACATAGTGCGTTGTAGGCCACTGAAAAGACTTTGGCTTTTAATCTGAGTGAGATAGGGAACCACTGCAAGATTTGAGGCAAGGACAAAACCTGACATATTTTTAAATATTCATTGTGGTTGCCTGGTTAAAAACAGACTGCAGGGAAGCAGTAGAAGAGGCAGGGAGAACTATTAGGAGGCTCAGGCAGTAATCTAAAAGAGATGATGGTGCTTTGCACTGCACCATGGTTGTAGCAAAGAGAAGTGATGAAAAGTGGCAAGACTCTAGGTATATTTTTAAGTTAGAGCAGAAAGGACTTGTTAATAGATTGGAATGGTGTGAGATAGATAGAGGAGGCAATGATGGCTCCAAAATTTTTGGACTCAGCAAATAAAGGATAGGGTTGTCATCAATTGATAGAGGATAGCCTGTGATGGAGCAGATTTGTGTCTATTATCAGGAAAGCATGTCTATTACATGTCCAGGT